GGATTATATCATAGATAAAGTTAGGTCGTGACTATGGATAGCTTCATTTGTGTAACTGTTTTGTAAATGATAGATCTAACATACAGTGTGTAGATAGTGATAACATGCATGTAGATGTAACGTTATATGCTTAGTTTTTTTCTCTCTCATTCAACACGACAGGTAATTATACTTGTTGCAATAGTATAACTACTGGACTTGGCAAGAACATACAATAATGATCATTCCTTAAAATCATAATAATAAACTGACTTTTTTCTTAACTTCTTCCTGCTCCAAAGACCGGATTTTACCAGACATAAAAGTCGTCAGTAAGGACACTGTTACCTGCACTCATGTGTTCCGGCCGTGGGACTTTGAAAATTACAAATTAGGTAAGAATAGAAAAATTAACTTTAAAAGTGCATAAGACACCTTTTGTAGCGTTTGATTATGCAGTCCTGTTTGTATGTCAGTTGTCTTTTTATAGCAAATTATATAAATTTCTCTTTGGTGTAAACTTGTCCTTTAATTTTTAATAAGCTGTGTTGCTCTATGTTGACTTTGAATGATATTCAATATTTTTCTCCCCAAAAGAAAAAGTTACCTGTGGGGAATATTGCCAGGCAGATGCCCATGATCTCGTACCTAGTAGGACAACGGTACTACCTCCAGCCCCTGAAGAAAGCAAGAAAGAGCCTGATTTGAAACTGATCTTCATACGAGGTCAAAGATATGAGTTCCTGCCCGCGTATTATCGCCACCTGGCACCTGGCAAGAGAACTACAGTTACTGAGAAGTTGTGCTCCCTTGGCAACACTTCTTGGGTGACCATGGAAGAGATCAGAGATTACTCCACCAATGATGTGATGGCTAGGTGTATCATTCAAGGAGTCAATGTTGATGATACCACACGCAGACCAGAGCCGCTTCCTGATTGGTTTAAGGAGAAGTATGCTTATCTTACATCATCGGTGCGAACGGTTCAACCCTTTGATGTGCCAAAAAGCACCAAGTTCTTCCGATATTCTGAAGTTGTGCCTCCTAGGGACACTGACACCTATAACCATACCACCCTATCATCCTATATATGGTACGGTATGGACTGTGCAACTCTGGGAGCAAGAAGCAACGCATATTCTGTCATCAGAGGAGACATTGACAAGTATGACCTGAAGATGTTGGAGGTGTTATACCAGAAAGAATCAACAGAGGGCGACGTACTTGATGTTGAATCATGGGAAGACCAGGACAGTCCTGACACACTGAGGTTCCAGATTAAGAAGGGCGATGAGAACATCACACAGTTAACGATGCAGTTTTACATAACAACTGTTTAAGACGCAATCTGTTTTATATTGCTGTAGCTTTTCTCAGAGTTGCCAAGAAGCTACTGTTTTTTAACTTTATGTTAAAAAACACCAGTGTTGAAAAGAAATGTTGAGACATGGGATTCCAGGTATCGAAAATAAATGGATACGTTATGTTATGTTATGTTATGTTATGTATGTTGTGGAATTTATTATATAAATACGAAACAAAACTGTCAGCAGAACATAACAACAGATTTGGTCCTCTGCGGAGGTCAACGGAACTGCAGCCGGCTCACCCCGGACCGCAGTTGCGTAATGCCGCGAATTCTATACCCGCGTCCATTGATACTGTGTTTTACGACCTTGACCCTGGTTCACATTTCATGAGGGTAATGAAGTCAAGAGTCGCCACGGCTACGCGTCACGGAGCTTTGATCAACAACAAAACCGGTGAGACGTATCAGTCCTGTCAACTTTTACTGGGCACAGGGACAAACCTGTACGTGTGTGCCTCAGAAAACAGAGAGGTTTGTAGACCGTGTCCTTTCCTAACTTTATAACATTATCATAACAGCTAGACATCGACGTTAGCGAAAATCCGATCAGGTGTTAGCCAAGACTAGTGGGAGGGGGGCGTGTTGCGTGTTACCTGCTATACTTCTATCTTGACCTTGATAATTTGCTTTTAATTCCTACATGTAGGACAAAAGTAGGCATGATGCAAAACTTGTATACACTGATACCTTAAAACGCCGTACGGGCCGTTCGGCCTGTTATGTCCTGTTATCGATGTTGTCGATATCACACTGCGTAGTGCGTCACCTCTCTCACCCCCCTCCCCACCCCGTACCTTTTCTAACTCCTTTATTATGCGGTAAGGAGTTCCAGCTGTTGACACTTGGCAAAAAGTTTTCCTCAAATCCAAACGGTTGATGAGATTTCTCCAAGTTTGCACCTGCATATAGAGGGGTCCATACGCACATGTATACGAGGGGTCCGTCGTCGGTGAAGTTTAGACATCCAGGTAATAAGATACACCAAAAAATAGTTATTCAAGCAACTGGATATGATGTTGGAAAAGGTCAGACGTTTCAGGTAGCATCCACTACGTTTCGTCAGTGACACTGGAGACTTGTCAGAAATGCCGATTTATAAGCACAAACTATTGATTGATATGCAAATAAGTTAAGAAAAAAATGTTTGAAGTCCAAGAAGTAGACAAGTCAAAACAAGTTGCTTGAGTAACTGTGTGTGTTTACGAGGGGTCATAAGAAGAATCTGACCATGTTTAAACTTTCTCTCGATCGTGCAGACAGGCTAGAAGAAAGCATGTTGTCAGTGACAGGCCGGAGACTGGGGGCATGGCTGTCCCCTCACCATCCAATGAGTGCTGCGCTGTGTCGGGTCAAGACTCTGGCCACAGGTGACTCAAAGTTGAATTCTTCCTGGATATCGGTTTGAAATTTCTGATACATAACATTGTACTTAAAAAATTGCAAAGCAAAAATGAGACATGAAAATGTTGAATCACAAACTGTTTGAAACATATAAAATCCGGTAGAGGTAATGGGAATTGTAATTGCTGAAAGTCTACTATTTCAATGGA